AGGACACTGCCCCAGGAGCTGGGCTGGGATTTAGCAGCGACTTTCTGTGGCTCCAGTCTTCCACCCTCTTCCTACTGGACCTCCGGGCTGCTCCAGGCCTCGCCCACCGCTTCATCCTGTGCAAAGCCCTTTGCCCCTCTCAGCCTCTGGGACAGTGTCCTCCTTCCTGAGGGTGTTCAACTCCGATGACCCACAGGCCCCTCAGAGCCACCAGCTCTGAAACCTGAGCTCAGAGCCGGGGTCTGAGGCTTCTGGTGTGAGGGTTGGTGGTGCCCAGAAGAACTAAGAAGACATCAACGTTGGGGAGACAAGCGATGAATCAGGGGTTGAACAGGTTGAACCTTGAATCCGCCACTTACTGGCTGCGTGACATTGGACGTATCATTTCACCCCTCTGAGCATCAGTGTCCTTACGTGTAAATTGAGGCTAATAATAGGTGGTTGCAGGATTTGATTGAGTTAATACATTTGTTTAGCACACTGCATGGTACATAGTGAGCACTCATGTAACAGATGTCAGCTGTTACTAACTGGTCACCAGTGTCAACACTGCTATTCAGACATCTCCACTCGCCTGGCTGGCGTGGTCCAGCGGTTGAGCTTTGACTTAGGATCCAGGAGATCGAGGTTCGATTCCAGGTCAGGGCACATGCCCGGGTTGCGGGCTCGATCCCCAGCATGGGGTGTGCAGGGGGCAGCCGATCAGTGACTCTCATCATTGATGTTTCTCTCTCTCTCTCTCTCCCTCTCCCTTCTTCTCTCTGAAATCAATAAAAACATGTGTTTTTTAAAAATCTCCACTCATTCTTCCTCTTATTCCTACTGTTGCCTCCTTTCCTCACTTCTTACCCTGATCACTGCAGTAACGCTCTGTCTTCAAAGACAAATCTCTCCAATCCTTCCTCTGCATTTAAAGTATTCATATGTGACTAGGCGACCCTTCTGTTAAACCCCCAACCAAGCATCGTGATTGGTTTATTAGGGCCTCTCCTTGGTTTCTAGGGTGCACCTCTCCATTCTCGTCTCCCACCCACCCTGTTCTTCCCAGCCACTCCAAACTCCTGGGCTTGCACACAGAGCCACGCTCACGTGTGCTCCTCTGTCTTTGCACGTGCCGTTCTCCCTGGGGGAGACCTTTCCTCCCTTCCTTAACTTACCCAGTTCAGGCAGCACCTCCTTGAGGAAGCCCACCTGGATTGTAGGTGAACTAGAGAGATCAGAGACGAGTGATTGTGGCAACCCCACACTTGCCCCCTGACCCCCACTGCACCTGCCTTTGCTTCTCTCTGTGACTGTTTCCAGGACCCACCTCACTTGAACCCAGTGCTTACAGGAGTCTCAAGTGTTGCAGGGAAACTGAGGGCCCCACAGTGACCAGACTTTCCTTCCCACAGCTGCTGACCCCCTCATCCCCTCCCGAGGAGACCCAGCTCGGAGCACAGGGTGTGACGCACACATGGCTGTCCTCGGCCGTTTAGATGTCATCGAGGAGGTAATAAGGGTGACCTGGGAGGACATGCACCTTTGGAACCACCTGCCAGGCTGGTGGCCTTATGGGGCTCAGGCCAACCTTGCTTTGGAAAATTAGGGAAATCCAGGCCAGTCCTCCTCCCTGCCCTGCCTGGGCTGTCAGGCTGACCTGTCCCCAGTGGAACCTGCTTACACCCCTGGGGCCTTGCTTACACCCAGCCAGAAATCTCTGCATAATCGCCAGGCAAAAAAGGTGGGAATTCAGTCACTGCATTTGGTTATACAGTCAGTTTGTAACCTGGGGTTCATAAGCTTGTGTGGGGAAAAAATATACTTTATTTTCAAAAACCTTACCATTCACGTTTATTATAAATTCAACAAACTGTAGTAGTATTAACAGTACTGTGATTTTTGTCAGTATGTCAAAATTGCAGTAGTTGTTAGAACTTATTTAGTGAGTTAGTTAAAACATAAATTTTTACATCAAAAATTCAATTTCTGATACTTGAATAATATTTTAATGCACTTGGTGTCCTTGGAAATCCTGTACGTTTTATTTTTTCAAGGAAATTATTTTTCTAAGCAGGGGCCTGTAGGTTTCTTCGGATTGCTCCTAGAGTTCATTCATGAAAAGAACACCCAATAAAGAAAATGTAAAATCCAAACCCGTCGTTTGGCAGAGTTGCCACCAGGGGGCGAGGAAACGAAAGGACTGTGAGTTCCCAGCGAGGAAGTCCTGAAGGGGACGGGGAATCCCAGTCACGCCAAACCCTGACTAGGAAAACCAGTGCCAGAGCCAGGAGCAGCCACAGAGAGGGAGGAGAGGGAGCCCCTGAGATTTTGTCATCTGGGGAACGGGAGGCGGGCAGGGCAGAGACTGAACAAAAAGGACCCAGGTCCCCTGGCGCGCAGCTCGCCCCACTGGACCACCAGGTGCTCCTGATGAGGCCGGACTTGGCACCACTCTTACCCTCTGCCCCCCCCACGGGTTCCCATCTCTCCTTGCTCTAGAAGGTGGAGAAGACGGTGGAGCACCTGGAGGCAGAAGTGAAAGGCCTGCTGAGCCAGCTGGAGGAGCTGGCCTGGAACCTTCCCCCCGGACCCTTCAGCCCAGCCCCTGACCTCCTGGGCGATGGTGAGCGACCTCCTGGCAGAGATGACAGCCCCTGGGGCCGGGCACGCGGGATGGGGATGGGTGCGCTGGTGTAGCCTGGACAAGCCAGGGGCTCCAGCTCCTCCTCGGGACAGAAGTAGGAAGGCATTTCCCCCAGCTCACTCCAAGTGTTCGCGGCCCCCGTGCCCACCCGCCCCGCACCCCGGGTGGCTGCAGCCCAGTGTCAGGCCAGGGCTCCTGGGAGAGCACCTGTTCACTCAGCACTGCCAGCCTGGCACAGAGCAGCTGCCTCCCGCACTGGCCGTGTTCATACCCCCAGCTCCTCGGTTCCTTTCATCTCCCTTCCAAGGACCACCCCTGTGGCACCATGAGCCCTTTCAGGAAAGACTGGCTTCCTCCTGACCGAGCAGCGGAGAGAGCCACCCTGCTACCTCTTTGAACCCCATGTTCCCTGGCACAGGAGTTCCGGGGAACTGGAGGGGTGGGCAGGGTGCCCCCTCACTTGGAGCCGCCCCTTTCTTCCAGATCATTTTTGAGCACCGGAGACCGAGTTGCCCAGCAGCTGGAAGTGATACACCTGTGGGACAGCTCTCCTCTGAGCTCAGAGCCTTGCATCTGGCCCTCCTTCCTCAGCTTTGTGCAAAGTAAAAGCGACTCCTTTGATCCCGTGTGTTTGATCCCCTATAGCCACAGCCCCTTCTCCACCTACTCCACACCCCCCTGAAGGCTCAGGCCTGGGCACCCCTGGCTGGCTGTGCTTCGGCCCGCCTCCTTTATAGGGGCGGACAGGCAGGGTCGGTTCACAGAGGTGAGGCCAGAACCATAGATGACACAGTAGCAGGGCCCTCTGGGGAGCCTTGCTACTCCAAGTACGGCCACACCTGGGAGTCTGTCAGAAATGCAGAATTTGGGGCCCCACCCAAACCTCTTGAATTAGAATTTACATTTTAATGAGACACTCATCCCCGCCAGGGGATTTGTGTGCCCATTAAAGTTTTAAAAATTGTTTCTAGTGAGGTAAAATTCACATAAAATTCAAAATTTTAACCATTTTAAACTGAACAAATTCAGTGGCTACAGCCCTAAAGAAAATCCTGTGCCTATTAAGCATTACTTCCCATTTCTCCTCCCCCCCTCCCCTGGAAAACACTGACATTTCTGTCTCTATGGACTTGCCTATTCTGGACATTTCATATAAATGGAATCATACAACATGTGGCCTTTTGCATCTGACGTTTTTTTCACTCAGCGTGTTTTCAAGGTTCATCCATGTTGTAGCCTGTAGCAGTGCTTCATTCCCTTCTGGGTGGACATCCGCTTTCATTTCTCTTGGGTCTCTAACTAGGGATGGAGTTGCTGGTTTTCGAAGAATCAGCGGAAGTTTTTGCACAGCAGCTGTACCATTTTACATCCCCACCAGCAGTGTCCATGTGAGGGTCTCAGCTCTTCCACAGCCTCACGTCTTTTTGGTTATAGCCATCCTATTAGGTGGGCAGTGGTATCTCACTGTGCTTTTAGGCTGCGTTTACCTAATGACTATTGGTGCTGAGCATCTTTTCATGTATTTGTCGGCTATTTTTATGTTTTTGGTTTTGAAAAAAACGGCTCTTCAAGTATTTGCCCATTTAAAAAATTGGGTTGCCTCTTGTTGTTGTTAGAGTTCTTTGTGTTATGGATGCTAGGCTTTTATCAGATATACAACTTGTAAATATTTTCTGCTATTCTGTGGGTCTCTTTTTACCTTCTTGATAATGTCCTTTGAAACCCAAAAGTTTTAATTTTGATAAAGTCCAATTTTGTTGTTGTTGTTGCTTGTGCCTTTCGGTGTCCTATCTAAGAATCCATTGCCAAAGCCAAGGTCATGGATATTTGTTGTTTTCTTCTAAGATTTTTATAGCTCTAGCACTTACATTTAGTTCTTTGATCTATTTTGAGTTAATTTTTGTATATGATGTGAGGTAGGGATTCCACTTCATTCCTTTGCTTGGGGATATCCAGTTGTCCCAGCACTATTTGCTGAAGAGAATATGCTTTCCCCACTGAATGCTCCTGGGACCCTTGTCAAAATCAATACTGCAGAGACGTTTAGGCTGATTTTTCAATTCTGTCTCATCGGTCTATGCGCCTATCTTTATGCCAGTATCACACTATATAAATTACTATAAATTTGCATTAAGTTTTGAAGCTAAGAAGTATGGGTTGCCTGGCTTTGTTGCTCTTTTCCACGACTGTTTTGGCTGTTTGGGGACCAGTCCCTTGCAATTCCATATGAATTTTAGGATCAGCTTGTCCAGACCTGCAAAAAGGCAGTTGGAATTTTGATAGGGATTTGGATTGGATCTATAGATCAATTCACAGAGTATTGCCATCTCAACAATGCTGTCTTCCCATCAATGAGCACAGGATGCTTTATGTTTTTGCATTTTCCAGTGTACAAGTCTTACACCACATTAGTTAAATTTATCCTTAAGTATTTTGTTCTTTTGGATGTTATTGTAAATGGAATTGTTTTAATTTCATTTTCAGATTGTTCATTGCTAATGTTTAGAAATACAAATGATTTTTGTATGTTCATTCTATATATCTTACCCTGCAACTTTGTTGAATTTGTTTATTAACTCTTAATAGTTTTTGTGCGGATATTTTAGGATTTTCTATATATACAATCATGTCATCTGTGAATAGAGTTTTATTTCCTACTTTCCAATTTAGATGCCTTTTATTTCTTTTTCTTGCCTAAATGCCCTGGCTAGAACTTCACTCTTTCTTCATTAAATATGTCAGCTGTGATTTTTCACAGATGCCCTTTATTTTAGGTTGATAAATTCCCCTTCTGTTCTTAGTTTCTTAAATCATAAAATGTTGAGTTTTCTCAAATGCTTTTTCTGCATGGAGATGATCACGTGGTTTTTAATCTCCTATTAATAATGTGTATTACATTGATTGATTTTTGTATATTGAACAGTTTTTGTTTTCCTTTGATATATCCCACGTGGTGATGGTAGATAACTCTTTTAATGTGCCGGCGGGTTCAGTTTGCCAGTATTTCATTGAAGGTTTTTGCACTTTTCTTGTGATCTCTTTGTCTGCCTTTGGTATCAGGGTAACACTGGTTTCGTAGACTCAATTAGGAACTCTTCCTTCTATATTTTGGGAATAGTTTGAGAAGGACTGGTGTTACTTCTTTAAACATTTGATAGAATGCATCAGTGAAGTCTGGTCTTGACTTTATCTTTATTGGGAGGGTGTTTTTTTTTAATTACTGATTTAATCTCATTATAGGTCTATTCAGATTTTCTATTTCTTCTTGAGTCAGATTAGAAAATTTGTGTGTTCCTAGGAATTCTTCCATTTTCTCTAGGTTATCTAATATATTGACATACAATTGTTAATATTTTTTTGTAATCCTTTATTTATGTAAGTTTGTTAGTAATATCCCCTTTTGTTTCTGATTCTGATTGAATTGTCTCTCTCTTCTCCATCTAGCTGAAGGTTTGTCGATTTTGTTGATCTTTTCAAATAGCCTTTATTGTTTGTTTCATTGATCCTATTGTTTACCTGAACTCTAATCTTTATTTCCCTCCTTTTGGTTGGTTTGGATTTAGATTGCTCTTCTTTTTCTATTTCCTTAAAATGAAAGATTAGGTTTTTGGTTTGAGATTTTTTTTTTTTTTTTTTTTTTTAATGTAGGCACTACAGCTGTCTGTTTCCCTCTGAGCACGGCATCCATCCCACATTTTGGTACATTGTGTTTGCATTTTCATTAATCTCAAAGTATTTCCTAAATTCTCTAGTGACTTTTTAACTCATTGGGTTATTTTTTAAAGAGTATGTTGTTTAGTTTCTACATATTTATATAATTTCCAGGTCTCTTGGTATTTATTTCTAATTTCATTCCATGTGGTCATAGGAGATACTCTCTATGGTTTTAATCTTCTAAAATTTATTTAGTTTTTGTGACTGGATAATTTTCCACATGCACTTGAGAAGAATGGATATTCTGTTGCTGGGCGGACTGTTCTCTAGGTCTGTTAGGTCTAGGTGGTTTGCAATGTTGTTCAAGTTTTGTCTCCATTTTTATCTTGTCTAATTATTCTGTTGAGCAGAGAAAGTGGGATGTTGAAGTCTCGAACTATAATTGTAGAACTATTACTCCTTTCAATTCTGTCAGTTTTTGTTTCAAACTGTCTGGGGGCTCTATTGTTCAATGCATGTATGTTTATAACTGTTATATTTTGATAGAGTAACCCTTCTATCAGGATATAATTTGATATCCTATGTGGGCTTAATTTTTGCCTTTTAATTGGAGAATTTATTCCATTTATATTTCATGTGTAAGCTTGGATGTGTAGATTGTTTAACCAAAGTTGGTTTCCAGCTAGTTTCTTCAAATAGTTCTGCTTCTCTCTTCTCTCCTGATTCCCATGGTGAGCATGTTGGTACACTTGATGGTGCTCTTCAGGCTGGGAAATCGCAACTCACAAACCATGAAGTTCGCCAATTCTTTTTCTGCCTTCTCAAATCTCTTGAATCCCTCTAGTGAATTTTTCATTTATTATTGTACTTTTCAACTCTTGAATTTCTGTTTGGTTCCTTTTCCTCCTGCTCTTGATTGATACTATTTGGTGAGACATCATTCTGGTTTCCTCTAGTTCTTTGTTCGTGGCTTCCGTTAGCTTTTTTTAAAGGCAGTTGATTTAAAGTCTTTGTTTGGTAAGTCCAGTATCTGGGCTTTCATATTTCTACCAACAGTTTTTTTCCTGCACAGGGTCTGTACTTTCTTCGCATGCCTCATGATTTTTGTTGAAAACTGGACATTTTGAAAATTATAATTTCACAACTCTACAAATCAGATTTGTTGCTGCTTGTTGTATTTACTGTAGTTTAATAACTTTTTAAAAACTGATTTTTAAACATTTGTATTCTTTGTCAGGTGTGGCCATTGAAGTTTTTGTTCAGTTAGCTTAGTTCACACTAATGATTCAACAAATTTACTTAAACTCCTGAAACCAAAAAAACCTGAAAATAATCTCCCAGTCTTTGCAGATGTGTGTATATTGGGGCACATCTTTTGACACTCAGCCAAAAACTGACTCTGCCTTAACCTTCACTTCCTGCTTATGCAGAATTTAAAAGGTCAGCCAGAGGAAAGATCTTACTTAGGGCCTTCTCAAGTCATTTCTAAGCACGTGCCAGGCCCTGGGCATGTGCTTTCTAGATTTCCAGTTTGTGGAAACTCTTCAAAACCATTACTCCCTGAAGCAATCACCTCCAGTCTTTCCTCCCCAAGCTCTTCAGTTTGTCTCGTTTGCGCCAGACTTTTGAAGTTCCCCACCCCACCATTTTTGCTGACTACACTGAAGTTTCGAAAGCTCTGATTTAGTCCACTCTTCACTTTACAAAGGGGCAAATTGCCCAAAGATGGGAAGTGACTTTTCCAGGATCACACAGCAAATCACTGGCTCAGCTGAGATCAGAATAGGGAAGCTCGATTCCCAGACCAGCGCTCTTTCTACTTCAGGTCTGCATCAGCTCTGATTGTTGGGAAGGAACCAGGTTCAGAGTGAACCCCGGTATTAGGCAAAGGAGAGCTTTCCGAGGAGCAAGGGCCAAGGGTATAAGCCCCTCATGGAGTTGGGGGCTTGATTGAATCCTTTGCTGAGAGGGGACCCTGTATAAGTTCAGGTGGAGGACTGAGTGATGAGCCCCGTCTCTTAGAGGAACATAGGTCGGTAAGTGTGGTGGGGTGAAAAGTTAAGCTGTTATCGGCCTGGGGAAATGGTTTAGGTTGATTTCTGTTTCTAGGTCTGACTCCACTCCCTATCAGCCAGGGCAGGAAGAAGCTGACAGTAGAAATGGGGTGAAACCTTAGGCTAGGACAACTCCCTACCAAAGCGAGATAATGGACATGGTATGGCATCCAGCTGCTTCCTGGACCATGGGTATCTGCAAAGGTTCACCTGTCAGGTCCCTCTTCCCAAAGCCGGGAGTGGACATGTCCCATCTCCCATTACCTGAATTCCAAACACCCTGCCACCTGTACGCCCACCTTCTGTGTGAACGCCTCTGTGCTCAGCAGCTCTGTCTCAGTATTTAGATGAGCATCAGGATCACGAGGCCAGCAGGTCACAGATGCAGCTGCCCTGGCCCCAGGCCTGCTCAGAATCTGAGGGCGGGGCCCAGGGACCTGCATCTTCAATAAGCTCCTCAGATGGTCCCGATACATCCTGAGGGTGGGTTTTGTTTTTACCTTTATCCAATTCAGTGTCATAGAAACACACGTCTCAGACAAATCAATAGCATGTTTAAAAAGACTAACATCTGATAAATAATTCCCCACCTCCCTCACCCACACGTTTTTATGGAGACGGAATTGTGATAAATGAAGGCACTGTCAAGATTATTATGGTTAAGGTGGTGAATGTAGAGCTGGAGTTTTACCTCCCCTGTGCTTCATTTTCCGTCCTATCTTCTAATCTAAAGCACTCAGGACCACTCGGACAACTGCAGCTCGATGGAAATACTGAACGGGCTTCTGTGGTGGAGGCAGAATTTGATTCTCAGAGCCAAAGTATTTCCCAGGGGAGTTCATGGTGTTTCTTCACAGTGGTGGCTCCCTGCTGTTTTTTGGGTCTCTGTCTCTCTCCTATCTTCTGGGCTACCCAGCTCAAGCCTCAGCTCCACGGGATCCCGTTACAGCACAGACTCCCTGACTCTGCAATAGGGCTGCCTCTTTCTTTAATGTTACTAGTCCCTTGCCTTGATATTTTAAGAGCCATCACTTCAGGACCATTTCCCCATCTATGCAGTGAGCACTCCAAGCTTCCTTTCCTAAATTTTGCACCCAAGACAAGTGACTTACTCGCTTCACCCTAGTCTCAGTTCTCCCCTGAACAGTGTTCCTCCCAGTAGCCCGCAGCTGCTGATTTACTAAGGACTGAATTCATCTGGTGCCTCACTCTGCTCCGGAGTGATGTTAGATGTGAACTGCGGACTGGCCTTGACTAACAACTCCAGAAGGCTGCAAGGCCCTGCGTAGTCCTCTCCCAAAATGATGATCTGAAAGGTCCAATGTTCCCCTCCCCATCTTTTTTTGTTCTGAGCATAATCAATACTGTTAACAACCTCCTCCCACTGACCTTAAAAGCCAAGATACCTTTCCCCTGGAGAGATCTGTGCATTCAGTCCCCCAGCCCATACTTCCTGTGGGTTGGGCCCCACAGACATGAGCAAGAGGGCAGCCAGAGGGACAGAAAGGCAGAGAGAACCAGGAGCAGGATGAGCAGAGGTGGCCCCAAGTGCAGAGACCAGGGTCTCAAACGCAAAGGCCTGCGGGGGCCAAAGAGGTAATGTGATGATGGAACACGTTAGAGTGGTGGGGCCTGTAGTGAAATGAATACATGCCTGAAGGGGGCAACAGCAATTTGGCTACAGCAGCAACCACTGTGCAGGAATGCTGGGCCAATATTGTCAGAATTTTTGCTTTTTCAAGAGAAGCCGGGAGTGCCCTGGCCGGTGTGGCTCGGTTGGTGGAGCACTGTCCTGTGCAACAAAGGGTCGCTGGTTGATTCCTAGTCAGGGCACATACCCAGGTTGCAGGTTCAATCCCCGGTCAGGGTGTGTGTGGAAGGCAGCTGATTGATGTTTCTCTCTCTCTTTCCCTCCCCCTTCTCTAAAATCAATTTTTAAAAAAAGAAAATAGCATCCCCTTTTCTCCATTATTTTTTTAAAAAAAGAGAAGCCAGGAGCCTGTTTGTTTAAATATGAAGTCTTTCAATGCCTAAATGTTGGCAACAACCTCAAATGTCTAAAAATTCCTTGGAGACCAAAGTCAATGCATGTGCAGGTTAGACAGTGAATGCCTGCTGGGCACCAGGTTGAACCTCTGGTGTAAACATCAGGGGAAAGCAATGTCATAGAACGTTTACAGTCACATCAGAGCAGACTGAATCTAGGCCCTGGCACAAGTCTGGAGGCCACTGGGGTCAGCTGGAGTTCATGGCAAGTTGTGCAAATGCCAAGCAGTCCACCCCAACAGGCAGGGCACACCTGGCACCCAAAGGTAAGGGGCGAGCCCTAGGGAACACCTCAGCCAAGTATACTGGGTCTTGGTCAAGAGGCTCCAGACACAGAAACAGGCAGAGCTGATGCAATGTGTAGGGCTTGCCACCGATTCCAGTGCCCATGTCAGTCTTTTCAGGCTGGGGAAGGCAGGTCTAGGTAGACCAGACTCATGTCCAGCTCATGGCTGCTCCATGCCCTCAGGTTATCCCCTCCTCTCACCATGTCCAAGGGGCAGTGAGGAGTCAGGAGGTATCCCCGAGCAGATGTCTACTCTGAACAAGCCACCCCTGGGGCCGCTGGCCAGGGCCCAGGAGGCTGATCTCCCAGCCTAGTCTCTGGATTCTCTCCTTTCTACACTTTGCACGCAGGTCAGAAAGGGAGTCAACAGAGACCCCTGACAAGCAAGGCAAGCTTTGGGTTCTGGGCATAATAATGATTTCTGGAAACTCTGCCCCTTCTGGACTTGCCCTATCCTAACACCGTCAACCAAGGGGCAAGGAGCCTGCCAGGAAACCACCCTTTCAGACTGCAGGGTCCTCAGGGAAGGTGCTGATCTCATGCCTCTCGGGATCCCCTGTTAAGGCCTAGACATAACACGTGACCAAAATCTCTGCACCTTCTCAGCATCTGGGCCCTGCATGGATTTCAAGAGCATCCTTTGCTCATGTCCTTACAGCCTGGGTCCTTGTGAACTACTTGTGCTCAAGGTTCTATTTAAAGCCACACAAATTTTCACTGGGCTACAGGGCAGAATCATGAAACAGAAGAAAACACACTGACACCAGGAAAACATTTCCAGAATGTTCCAGAGCTGGCAGACTTTAATTTAGAAACAGCTTTTGGCTATCAACATCCAGGTTTAAGGCACATTCTCCCTGTAACTGTCAGGGAGCTGGCTTTGTTTTCATGGTTTTATGTGGAAGAAGGAACAGATGACTTTCTGGCGTTTTTTCTGTTTTCTCTAAAAAGCAGTGAGTTTGGCAATAACAAAGCTTATGACACATTCTCACCAGATTCAAAGACTGCCCTTAAAGGTCTTCCCTTTTGCTCCTCAGTGAGGATGTGGCGTTCCCCCGCCTGGCTGCTATCCTCCGAAATGGGTGTGGCAGCAGAGTCTAGGCACCTGCCTGGCAGTGACTATAAAAAAATGCCTCCAAAATAAACAGTAAAATCACATGACTAAAATGAAGCCGAGTGTCTCAGCTACAAGCAAAGGGGAATGACTGCGTGAGTCAGGAAACAAAACATCTACTTTAGCAGCAAGAGGCTGTGAGGGGGCGGGGAAACGGCATCCTGAGAGCGCTCCAGACCAATCCAGCCCTTCGGCAGGGGCACGATACAGGATCGGGGGCGCGTGGAGGACAGGGCCAGGGCTCTACGGGTGGTCGCACTGGGACACTGGGGCAGGGTCGGGGGATATTTTGTGGTTTGATAGAAACAGGCAGACATTCTTTTGGCCTCTTCCTGGCATCACTGCTGCTGTTAGTGAGCCACTGGTCACCGCTCAGTCGTTGCCACCACAGATCTTCAGCAAAATCTTCCGGTAATCCCCCGAGGTGTCTCCCTGGTCACAGAAACAAGTGCATCAGTTGAGGGAGGTGTGGCCAGTTTGGGCCTCCTGGCTCCCCATTTTCTTCTGCCCCGAGTGCCCTTACAGAGCGGCAGGCCCATCCCAGGGAAATGCCCCACCGTGCAGGCCTGGAGCGGCCGAGACTCAGACTAGGCAGTGCAGGCCTTGACAATGCAGTTTAGCCTTCCCCATCCCCCCTTGAAAAACAGAAAGCTACAATCACCCCAACATCAAAGTTAGAATTAGAAAAATAAACACGAAAAAATTTAAGCAGTCAAACACCACCGGCCAGGGCTAACTAATGGGGACACTTCCCAGTGCTTTTTGTTGCACTCAGGTGGGGTAACATCGTAACACAGTGGCATGTCCCACTCAGGAGGTGTACGGGACCGCCACGACCTTCCAGTGGGAGGCGCTGTTATTATCTGGGCATCCCAGCTCACACTGCTATCTCCTTCTCCTGAGCCCACGGGACTTACTTCAAATGCAGGCCACGCTTAGCTAATTTCTAATCATTTCCTTCCTTGAGGGCAAGGCGTACCACTTCTTCCAGATGCCCAGAGCCCACTGGCACACAGAAAGTGGTACTTTGTGCTAATTACTGATTCCCCGCTACTGACAGCATCAGGTTTATAGCGAGAGCAATGGAATTAGCTTCTCAGTGGCATGCCCAATAGCTAATGCTAGTGAGTTTGAAATTAGGACTCGGTCACGATTACTGCAGTTGCAAGGTTCATGTGCGTTTGGAACTAAACTGTCAGACCACCCAGGCCGGTGTACATTCTGTCACACCGGCTCTGCACACAGTCACTGTCAGACACCTGCACGTGTCACTCAATGTGCTTCACACAGCCTCATTCAAGACTCAGCACTCCTGGGGGAGTATCATCACCCTTGTTGTAGGGAAGCTAGAACTGGGGTTTAGGGGGGTTTAAGACAGCTGCTCACAATAACAGATCTTGAACAAGCAGAAGAGCCAGAACTGGACCCAAACAAAGTGACCTGAACCCAGAGCCTCCACAGGGAGGGGGTGACAGCAGGTAAAGACCCCCCGACCTGACACCAGGAGTTACAATCTGTTTGGGGGCAACTGGATGAAAAAGTAAAAGCTGAAGAGAGAAAGTTCAAGGTCTACAATAAGACACCCATGCTCTGCAGGCCAGGCCGTGGGGACTTTAAAGGAAGGTCAAGAGACTGGGGTGGCCAGGGAGACCCCAGGCCAGGGGGCTGCCAGCAGGCGGCCCAGTTACCCCGAGGCCCCTACCGTGATGTCATGGTACAGCGACTTGCCATACAGCCGCTTGTACTCCATTCTGATGTCCAGGAGGTCGATCTCGCTGCGAGACACCATGATGCGAATCAGGGTCCGATCCTTTGTTCCTGCTCCCTAAAGAGAGTCCACCAAGGGTGTGAGCAGTGGGCCTCTTCACCGTCCCACCTTCCCAGGGCCCTCTGGTGCCCTCCTGCCCGTGGGCCCTCTGTCCTCTTGGCTGAGGTGTGGCTCTCCCCATGCCCTCGACCCCGAGCCCCTGGTCCTAGTCACAGGCGGGGCTGACACCCCCAGCCCCTCCCTGTGGAAGCTGCGTACCCTCATGGCCCTGTTCAGCCTCTCAGCAAAGAACGCAGGGGTATTCTTGAGACACTTCACTGGAAGAGAAACACAGCATAACTTGATCTGCAAGCAGCTCAGCCCAGGTGGCAGGGAGTACAGGGTCCCCTTAGGAGGCCACCTTCCCTCCCACTGCTCCTCTGGGCTCCATCAACTATCCATGGTCTTGGCTCCAGTGCTTTAGGTAGAAACACGCAGAGCCTGGACCACACCCCAGCCTCTTTCCTGGTGACAGCACAGAGAGGAGCTGTGTGGGGGAGTAATGGGGGAAGGTGACAGGCACGGTGTTGCTGCTCAAGCGGGAGGGGTGACTGGAGATGCCGAGAACCTCGAGGAGAAAGGCAGCAGAGTGGGACGATGTCTCCCTAGTGTCCTCAGGCCACAGAACCTACTATGGGGGACGTGCAGAAAATGAGCATGCAGCACCTCTCCCATCAGGAAGCTCCAAGGAAAGCAAAGCAAAAGATGGACACACTGTGCATCTCCCAAGTGGGGCCAACCCCTGGTGGGGGCGGGACCCGGAGCCCTCAGAGGGCAGGGTGCGGGCTGCAAGGAGCACAGTATCGTCCGGGGGCCAGGCCAGCTTTCCTTCAACAAGGCGTGTTGCTGTTGCAACCATGTGTTTCCATCACAAACATCTGACAACTGCCTGCAGGGATATATTTTTAGAGGAAACTTGGCAGGATGTGAGTCATCTCTTCCAGCAGGGCAGTTGGTTGCTCTCCCACTAATACCCACACTGCGTGCCCTTCCCAGAGCTGCACTTGAAATAGAAACAAGACACCTCCAGGACGGCGGGGGGTGCAACCACGCGGTGATCGGGAAGCAGGGTGACTCCCACAGGCTTAGGCACGCTGGATTTAGCAATCATGGGTCCTGCGGTGCTTGCACTGCACTGCCTTCCCCTCCACCGGAGGACGGTGGGCACCCTGAAAGCTTCCAGTCCGTGCCAGTCCCATCAGGCAGGCGGCCCGCAACACCTACCCACGGCCAGCATGCCCTGCTCCAGGTCCCCCGACATCTCCCGGCAGATGCTCTTCTCAATGTCTCGACCTGTCATTCGCTGATACTCGTTGAAAACTAGCGAGAAGAGAAAAAGAACGTCACGGGCTGAATTCTGTCACCCTTCCTAAATTCAAGTGTTGGAGTCCTAGCCCTCAGGACCTCAGAATGTGGCTATACTTGGAGATACCTAATCATCTTTAAAGAGATAATTAAGTTAACCCTGGCCAGGTGGGTCAATTGGTTGAAGCATTGTCTCGTACACCAAAAGGTTGTGGGTTCGATCCGTCAGGATGCACACAGGAGGCAACCTATTGACGCTTCTCTCTCACACAGATCTCTCTCCCTCTCGAAAATCAATAAACATGTCCTTGGGTGAGATTAAAAAAGAAAAAGAAAAAAAAGGAGGTAATTAAGTTAAAATAAGGCCCTTTAGTATGGGCCCTAATCCAATCCGGCTGGTGTCCTTAGAAGAAATTTGGACACAAGGAAACACCAGGGACAGGTACATAGAGGAAAGGCCATGTGAGGACACAGCAAAAAGGTGGCCATACAAAGCCGAGGAGAGAGGACTCAGAAGAAATTAAATGTGCTGACACCTTGATCTTGGATTTCTAGTTTCCAGAACCATAAGAAAATAAACTTCTGTTTAAGTCACTCGGTATATGGTATTTGGTTACAGTAGCCAGAGTAACTCACACAGGATACACAGTGAGGAGGCCTCTGTCCCTTCCCGAGCCACCTCTCCCTCTGCTCCCGACATCTGGAGGCCCCACTGACCACACCTGGCCAGCTCTCTCGTCAGCCAGGTTTTTCACCCCACGCATCGTGTGACCCCACCCCCACGCCTGCTCCTGCAGTCCTACTCCCAGGGCTGCCCTCACCAGACTGCTTACCCACATCGCACCTAGGCCCCATCCAGGACACGCCCAACACAGTAAATGACCCCTCTTCTGAAATCCTAGCTCTTCCAGCCCACGCCATTCCCTCCATTCCATCTCCCTTATTCCATGCATCAGTCTTGTCTTTCTCAAACTATGAGCTAACGCCCTGCCAGCCCCCCAACTTACCCTAGGACAAGCTGGGCACCATGGGAAGTGACTCCAGGTGGCACCGTGGAGCCCTGGGTCCTAACTTCAGCTTTGACCTTGGATAAAACCCCTCTTCCCCAGCCTGGGTCCCCACCAGTTCTCCAAACTTGTCATCTGCATGTCAGTGTGTTGATTTCTGCTGTCTTATTAATAGTCTTTTGATCAGCTCCTCTTTCCTCCTAAGTAATAACGTTTGTGAAACCAGGGTCTGATATGCTACTTACATATTCTATGCTCATTAAAATAAATAATAACTAAGATCAAACTATGCTCACTCACGCTCCAGTGCAGAGATTAAAAAGTATGCTCTGCAGCCAGAGGCTGAGTTCGAATCCAAATTCCGCCCGTTACCTGCTGGGTGACGACCTGACTTGCCCGCCTGCCCTGTGCCTGGCCTCCCATCTGTAAGATGGGAGGACAGGAGCAGTTATTTGTGTGCATCGTAAGACTTAGTGCATGAATAGAGCAGGGCCTGTGCTCTCACCCGGGCCATCCATGTTGCTAAGTGTGGTCATCATTCGCCCTCGCCCGCCCTCACGTGTTAGCCTCCAGCACGTCCCTTTTCTGGGTGCTCCTTCTTAGTCTCCTGCTACGGCCAGGGCCCTGTCCTCAGACCGCTGGTCTCTCTCCAGCTCCCTCCTGAGTGGACCTCTTGCAGTTCCACAGCCTCAAACACCTTTGGCCTATCCATTCACTGCTCCTAAACCTCCATCTCCAGCCCAGACCTCTCCTGACCTCCACACTCCTAAGTCCAGTTTTCTACTTATCTCCAGCCCAAGGCTCCCCTC